CACGAATGGGTGGTCAAGAGCACTTTTACCTCGAAACGCAAGCCTGTGTTGCAATTCCCAAACTGGAAGACGGTGAAATGGAGGTATGGTCGTCGACACAGAACCCCACTGAGACTCAAGCGTATGCGGCTCAGATTACTGGTGTATCTGCGAATAGGATTGTTGCAAAGGTCAAGAGACTGGGTGGTGGCTTTGGTGGAAAAGAAACAAGATCGATTCAATTGTCCTCAATTTGTGCGCTCGCGGCACAAAAGTCTAGACGAACGGTTCGGTATATGCTGAACCGAGATGAGGATATGATGACTTCTGGGCAGAGGCATCCTTTCCTCGGGAAATGGAAAGTTGGTGTTAACAATGATGGTAAAATCATAGCCCTTGATGCCGACGTCTTTAACAATGGTGGATGGACCCAAGATCTTAGCGGTGCAGTCCTCGAGAGATCTTTATCGCATATCGACGGGTGCTATAATATTCCCAACGTCCATGTAAGAGGCAGGATTTGCAAGACGAACACCGTTTCAAACTCGGCCTTCAGAGGGTTTGGAGGACCCCAGGGAATGTTCATCGCCGAAACATACATGTCCGAAGTAGCTGATGCCCTAGGCATGGATGTCGACAAACTCCGAGAAATCAACTACTACAGAGAAGGTGATGAGACACACTTCAACCAAGCCTTGGAAGACTATCATATTCCTATGATGGTGGATCAAGTTAAGCAAGAGTCTAACTATGATGCTCGACGGGAGGCAATCGACAAATTCAACGCTGAACATAAGTGGAGGAAGAAGGGACTTGCACTGGTTCCAACCAAGTTTGGTATCAGTTTCACTGCATTGTTCTTGAATCAAGCTGGTGCTTTGGTCCACATTTACCATGATGGCTCAATCCTTGTTGCCCATGGAGGAACAGAGATGGGTCAAGGTCTACACACAAAGATGACAATGGTAGCCGCTCAAGCGTTAGGAGTACCCTTGGAAAGCGTCTTGATCAGTGAAACAGCGACAAACACAGTCGCAAACACATCGAGTACCGCCGCTTCCGCCTCCAGCGATCTAAACGGTTATGCCGTCTGGAATGCTTGTGAACAACTTAACGAAAGGTTGAAGCCATATAGAGAAAAGTTGGGAGAGAACGCCACGATGAAGGAACTAGCGCACGCCGCATACTTTGACCGTGTCAACCTTTCCGCCAATGGGTTCTACAAGACGCCCAGAATTGGTTACAAATGGGGTGATAACTCTGGAATGATGTTCTTTTATTTTACACAGGGTGTTGCGGCGGCTGAGGTTGAGATTGATACTTTGACTGGAGATTGGACGGTTCACCAAGTTGATTTGAAGATGGATGTGGGAAGATCGATTAATCCAGCTATTGATTAGTAAGTTCTCATTGTTCTTTGATCTGACTCAAGTTTATAATACTAATCATACATTCACCATATAGTGGTCAGGTAGAGGGAGCCTTCGTTCAAGGCCAAGGGTTGTTCACGACCGAAGAGTCGCTATGGCTACGAAACGGCCAAATGTTCACCAGAGGCCCCGGAGCTTATAAAATCCCAGGTTTCCGTGACATCCCGCAAGTTTTCAACGTCAGCATGCTCAAAGACGTCGAATGGAAGAATCTTCAGACTATCCAAAGAAGCAGAGGAGTTGGAGAGTAAGTTCCTCTCATATCATTTTTATCACCATTTATCATTGTATATTCATGACTGACTCGGGATCTTTGTAATAGACCACCATTATTCTTAGGAAGCTCTGTTTTCTTTGCAATTAGAGATGCATTGAAAGCCGCAAGAAAGGATCATGGAGTTGAGGATGTATTAAGTTTGGTATCCCCGGCTACACCCGAGAGGATTAGGATCTCGGCGGCGGATCCGATTATTAAGAGGGCCTTTGTTGCACCGAGGGAGGGTGAAGAGTCGTTTTTCAGGTACATATAAGGCCTGTATATTGCGACGATAGTTTTTTTGGTCAATGGGTTTCTAGTTTTCGAGGGAGCAGTGTTCTATATTGTTTGGTTAATTGGATATTCTTGGTTTTTGCCCGCTTAGATGTTACAAGAGCTATAGGAAGAATGAGTTATATTACATGATTGTTAGATATTTATATACATAGTGTGTATAGGACTATGCACAAGAAACCGGTCGAGCCATGGTGAAATTTCGAAGCCAGCTTTCGACGAAATGACCTAGACAATCGAAAATCCTTCACTAACCTGATCCACGGCCGACCGGAATGCAGCTTCGAGACAGTTCAAAGCCATAATCTTGGAATCATAACCATCCAATGCTTCCTTGACTTTAGGGTGCGAATCCGCGATCGCTATTAACTCTTTGCTATCGCCCAGAACATGGTAGGCGTCGCGCCCGTCCAAATCCTTCGTGTATGGATTGGCGCCAAAACCTATAAGAAGTTCCACAAACCGAGATCCATGGATGTTTGCTCCCCTAACAGCCCAATGAAGAGGTGTGCGTCCCTTTTTATCTACAAAATGAAGTATATGTGGAGCGGCGTTATAAATCATCCTGGCACACCCTTCAACATCATCCGGGGAAAAGAAAACAAAGTTGGTATCAACGATACCGACTACAGCGTGAAGAGGGTATTCGCCAGCATGACGTCCCGGTATTACGACTGACGCACCGAGTTCGAGCAGTCTTCTGACTGCTTCTTGACATCCGACCATAGCGGCTGATACTATAGGGGTATCAATCCGTCCAGGATAATTTGGGTTGAAACACGCAGCGTTGATATCCAATTTCCATTTCAGAACGAGAAGATCGATAATTGTTATATGGCCCCAGCATGCCGCGATTGACAACGGGGTTATTTCAGATTGATTTTCGTCCAGTGCTGCTCCCTTCGATAGCAACAGATCCACGCACCCGCTCGAGCCGTTGATAATAGCGGCAATTACTATTGGGAACTTCGATTGCACGCTTAACAGTGCGGCCGATAAATCCCTAGAGGGTTCAATAGCTGTGGGTTTAAACGAGTGAGTTCCCACGAACCCTGTCTTTGCGATGGCCCAGTCATCTTCCATGCTCTCGAATTCCAGTGCGCTTGCGTTAACGTCTGCACCAGCGTCGATTAGCATGGTCATTAATTCGCAGTTCTCCGCCGCTACGGCTCGACGGAGAAGATTGTCGAGGAACTTTCGAGTCTCCACGGGGTACTCCCGGCCTGGTAACAGTCGTAAAAAACTGGTTTCATGCTGTGCATCCGGCACGCTAGCTAACGTGAATTGAGGATCGGATTCTAGACTTAAATGTTCCAGCAACTCAGCTAAGGTGTTTAGAAGGCCGTAGCTCTGAATTTCGATAAATGCATCGGCCATCCCATTGGCTAGATCCCGGCTGTTCGGTCGATTTTCGGGGTGGAAATCCATACACTGTGCAATAACATCTCTGAAGATTTTCGGATACGTATCGGGTATTTCCAGGGTTTGCCACCCTTCTGCGGTCAAAGATGGCGGTGACCTGCAGGTGCATAGACTGTATACCAAGCACCCAAAGCTATAGACATCTGATTTGATAGAGAACCTTGGTTCTTGGCCTAATATTTCGGGTGCGAGGTATCCTATGGTTCCAACGGTACCCAGTGAACCCCTGGTGTGGTTTGCAGATATGTACGCTGCGGGTGTGAATTTTCCGAATCCAAAGTCCGATATGTGGCACCAGGGCAAACGAGATCGGGATTGGAACCAATCTAAAAATATTTTCCCGTGTGTTTTGAGTTCGTCTATATCGAATTAAACGACATTGTGAGCTATACGATGCAAGAATTCTACCAAGTCTGTCCACCAATTGAGCAGGCTGTATACGACTATATATTGAAGATCGACTTACCTACTAATACCCTCCCATTAGTGACCCCCCAAAGCATTTCATTAAAAATGTAAGGCATATCTAGAAGAACTACATGTGTAACTAAGTTAGCAATAGTATCTCTTCTCATGCACCGTGCTCCTCCAATATGTAAAACGAGACGTCCCCCCCCAAATACGACTCACCATTAGCTGGCTTTAGATCTCTATGAATAATCCCATGATCATGACAAGCCTTCAAGCCTCTCGCAATCTCCATAGCCCAATAAACCACCATAAACGGATGAATGAGCGATTCCTGGTGTCTACACCCCGTAATAACCCTCTGCAGATCACCGCCTTCGTAAAGCTTCATGTATAACCTCATAGTCTTCGTCCTTTCGGTCCATGTTACATCGTGGCCAAAGCTGGCGATATATTTTTCCGAGGCAGAGAATGAAGACCAAGTATATATCTCGCGGCTCGCAAGGGTTGCAAAGAGGGGATTGGCTGAACAGTCTATCGCTTTGCAGGCCATTGCCTGGAAAAGTTCGTCAGCTTTGTTTATAATTTTCTTTTTTTTCTTTCTAATTCCCTGTATCCAGCGGATTGACTCAGGGGGGGTAGTACCGCAGCCAGTGTGTATAATGTTAGGAAGATACACAAAGGTATACAAATGGTATCTTACCGTTCCATCGCTGACCCGGCGGACCCTTGCAACAGAGCCAGACACGCCCTGTCCCAGCGTTCCAACAAACTCATAATTCGGATCCCTCCCGTCTAACTGCCTAATCGCCGCCGCCGCCATAGGCGCAGAAAACCCGGTATGGCGTGAATAGTTAACCGCAAATCATAAATTTAATTCTGGCGATTCAAGAGATAAAAGAATTCGAGGCTCCATCCGAAAAGATGGGGTGAAATACGACTTTTCAAGGACATTTCCGGGAGTTAGATTAAGATTGAATTCTGGGACCCACCAACCATTTATAGGACGGACGAATCAGCCCAGCCTCCCACCAGCAGCGACATCCTTTCATGCAGCTTTATGCAGGTCGAACAACCCCATGGCCTTGCGACCAGGTGTTGGATAATTTGAAGTCGAAAATGCGTTGTCTACTACATACCCCTCGTCTGAAGTGTCGCTGTTTCCACGCTGCAGTGACACCGCGCCGATATTAGTTACAACGATATTCCACGGCCTTGTGGCCTAATGGCAAGGCGTCAGTTTTCGGTATTCAGCTACGGTTGGATGTCATCCACTGAAGATTGCGAGTTCGATCCTCGTCGAGGTCATATGTTTTTACTTTTGGAGTTTAGACCCATGCAATTGGTGATGCTGGGGTAAGAGTATTCTTTTGTTTTACATGGTGTCGAAGATTATATCTTGATATCGATCTTCAAGTGCGTGTCTTTTTTATTTTAGCCAGATATTTGAACGTCGATAGAGTATACCCCGACCTTGCAGTCCACAATGTCTCATGTTCTAGATCACAGATACTTGAGTGTATAAAGGTAAAAAATCCTTTTCTTCGTTTTTCTCCCCCATAAATATAACTACACAAAATATAAAAATCCGGTGTACCTAAGGAATATCTAGAAAATGAAGAAAAAAGGGAAAAAATAGAATCGAGCCTGTAGGCCCACAAAAAGATTTTTCGGTAAATATGAGACTATTCGGAAATAATCTATGTAAAATTTACAATGGGGGCGCGTATGAGAGGGAGGGAAATGGGTGTATGTCCTTATTTTTAGTAATTTATACAGATATTAAGATTGAGGATGGTAATGAGTCTGTATATCTAAGGAATGGGATGAAGGAGGAGGAGGAAAGGGTTATCTAGGAAGAGGTGACCTTGTGGATGGCCTCGGCGACGTATTCGACGTTTCCGGAGTTGAAGCCAGAGACGGACATACGTCCGTCCTTGGTTCCGTAGATGGAGAATTCCTGAGCGAGACGGCCGACTTGTTCTGGGGTGAGACCGGTGTAGGTGAACATGCCGATCTATTAAACTAAGTTAGCTAAGATTTTTCAAAATATAGATACTGTGAATATATCAAGCAAGTCTTACCTGGGAAGTGATGTGAGACCAATCCTTTTGGGAACCAAGCTTCTCAAGGTTGCTCTTGAGAGAGTCTCGCATGACGATGATACGGTCAGCCATTCCCTTAACTTCACCGAGCCACTGGTTGGTCAGCTCAGAGCTGTTGAGGATCTCGCTAGCAATGAGAGCACCGTTGATAGGTGGGTTGCTATAAAAATAAGATACACATGTTAACAAGCATCCAATGAATATTCACGAGAAATAGAGGGAGGTAGGTCCATACCTGTACATTGGCCTGATGAGAATCTTCAACTGGGAATCAAGAGCCTTCTTCTCGGCTGGCGACTCGGTGACCAAAGAAAAGGCACCGACTCTCTCACCGTATAGACCCATATTCTTAGCGAAAGACTGAGCAACGGCAACATTGTGTCCGTCAGCGACGAATTGTCTCATGGCGGCAGCATCCTTGTTGATATCACCAGAAGCGAAACCCTGGTAAGCCATATCGAAGAAGACGAAGTGGCTCTTCTCCTTGACCAACTTGGAGATGTCGGCCCATTGCTCTGCGGTAGGATCGATACCAGTGGGGTTGTGGGCGCAAGCGTGGAGGAGGATGATGGAACCCTGTGGGGCGTTCTTGATATCCTCGAGCATACCAGCAGCATCAAGCTTGATACCGGTCTTGTCATAGTACCTGTACTCCTTGACCTTCAATCCGGAGTTGGTGAACAGGACCTTGTGGTTAGGCCACGATGGGGCAGGAATATAGATAGTCTTCTCGCCTGGGTAGAACTTGGCGAAGAATTCACCACCAATCCTGAGGGCACCAGTGCCGGAAATGGATTGGGTGATGCAGACACGACCGTCCTTCAAGGGAGCAGACTCCGGGCCGTAGGCAAGGGTGGCAGCAGCCTTGGTGAAGGCCGGGACACCGGTAATGCCTGCGTATTCCTTATCGGCTCCGCGCGCGAAGATATTCTTCTCGGCTGCTCGGACGGATGGGAGGACATAGGGCTTGCCGCTGTCATCACGGTATGCGCCGACACCTTAATAACCGGTTAGTTTAAGCCTATGAGATGTCAATGGGGGGTATATAACTCACCGACGTTGACCTTCTTGGGGTTCTTGTCGGCCTTGAAAGCCTCGGTGATACCTGTAAGCGGGTGTTAGCCATCATGCATCTTTATCTTCCCCACCCCCACCATCTGATAAAACATCATGGCAACCTACCTAGAATAGCCTACATTCCGAACCGCGACGAAATTAAGGTTAGATATGAATTTCCCAGAACTGAATCCTTATCAATTGATCCGATAATGCAACGGGGTTATGCTTACATCCTAGAAATATGCCATATGATAGGTTAGCGACGTCGTTATCAGAAAGCATGTGGAGAAATAATTTCCCGTGAAACCGGACCGAACACCAAACAGCCGCTCCATGGCCATGGACCCAACCGAGGGAAAGCAGAAGAAAAACAAAAAAGCCAACAGGAATTTTGCAATCTGATAACTTACTGGGGGGCCTTCGACGACATTGGACCAAGTGGACACGGACCGAACAGCCTGAGCTCCGGCTCGGGATGAAAGGAGATTCTGACGGGCCGAAGCGCGGACTACGGAACGAACAGCGGTCTGCATTGTGACTATGCTATAAAGACTGCAGGGCAAACAATTTAATCAGGGCAAATTTGATGAGAAGGAGCGATGAGACACAAAAGGAGGAAGCCTCGAGGGGTCTTATATTAGAGAGAGGTTGAAGGCGAGCTGCTGAGCGAGAACCGGAGCTCGTTTGTTTTTTTTCGTCTTCGACCCCAGCAGCTCAATTTTTCAGAGATGCCGTTAGCGTTCGGACCACGGTGACCTGCTTTCGCGCGAAGAAGCAAAGAAGTCCAATCGGCAGGGACGGGCGCTTGAGTTTCCTAGCATGGTGTATGTATTTGGGGATGCTGCGCTATGTATAACAGCAATATGCAGAGCAGCAGCCTCACGTGGGGGAAGTCGCCGACAGTCAAGAACAACCCGGTTTATTCCCTTCACCCGGGTCCAGACGATAATTGAGACCAATTCTCGCGTGGGTTTAGTCATGGATTGGGGATGGTATATTATACACATCGAACATCGTACATTTACTATGAGTCAAGGGACGAGTGAACGAAATAAAGGGTTTTCATGTATAGAGCCGAGATGGCGACTGTACTGCTCTCTGTGCTGACTTATCCATATCGATAATATATTGGGGTATATCAGATGCCCCACTAACAACTAACCATCCCACGAGACTAGCTTAAAACTTCCCTCACCAATGCCCTTCTCATCATCCACCGCGACGGCCCGGATGGACCTCCCTCCCTCCCTCCTCATCTTACTCCTCGCCACCGCCCTCGCCAGTGGCCTGGGTGGGTACTACATCGGTGCTTCCTCAAACAAGATACGGGACCTCCCAGCTGAGGCGTCAGGCCCAGACCAGTTGATAAAATCAGGATCCTCGAAATCAAAGTCACCAATCACCTCTTCTCCATCAAAGGACTCCTTCGAGAACATCAGTGCCACCGAGGCCGACGAAGAAGATGATGATGACGATGAAGACAGTGATAGCGATGCTATGATCAAGTCCGATTACAGCCATTTCAGTGCAAATGCCTTGACCGAAGAATGCAAAATGGTATGCCCATTTCTCCATTACTGCAAGAATATCTAGCTTTCCACTATCACCAAAAGAAGGGTGCTATAAACCCCCTTGCAGTCGCGCGGTTTATTCCGTTTATAATCCACCTAGTTCCGACGCATCTTCATGCGAAAACTATTGGATCACAACAATCCATATATTAGTCTTTACCAAGGAACTTCAAACAAGCACCATAGGGACCTTCTCATGCATCCTGCATTATGCAAGCTATAATATCCATATCTAACCTTATAACTACTTCCTTCTAGGTTCTCTGCGTACGAACTGACCTCGGAATGACTAAAGGGAAAATCGCCGCTCAGTGCGGCCACGCTACTCTCGCCTGCTACAAGGCTGTTAGCCGTCATGCACCGCTTCTACTCAAACGTTGGGAATATCTTGGTCAGGCCAAAATTGCCTTGAAAGTGGATTCAGAGGATGAACTGTTGACACTACAGGCACAGGCTATGAGTCTAGGATTGGTTGCGAAGGTGGTCAGGGATGCAGGCAGGACACAGATCGCATCTGGTTCAGCTACTGTTTTAGGGATCGGACCAGCTCCCAAGAGTGTGGTTAACCAAATCACAGGGCATCTGAAATTACTTTGAAGAAAGCATCACACTAGCATTCTAAGGCGTGATTTGATACACACAGCAGAGCCGTATAGCATAGATTGTACTATAAGTAGACACTAAAAGCGTGCATAATACGCATATGCTCAAAGATATTGAGCTACCTGTCAACTCCAATTTCCGATAAAAGCCCGATAACTATCAAAGTAGAATAATTTACATAAGTCTAACCCCTGCTGTCCTCGACTTCTTCGCTGTATCAGCGATTGTGCCGACCAATCCCTCCGGATTCAAACTGCTGGCTGCCATTCTCTTCTTGTCGTCCTCAATCTTCTTCAATTTCTTCTCGGTCTTCTGCTTACCAGAACCCTTTCCATGGAACTGATGAGACAGATACTTGAAGGCCTCCTTCTGGTTCATAGTTCGCCCGTATTCATCCTTATGTTCAATCTTCACATCCGGCTTGTAGTCCTTGAACCGGGCTGCTGCTTCTCTAGCTTCTTGTGTATCTCTGAGCTTGTTCTCATAACGAGCATACTCCTCCTTTTCACGGGCTGACATCTTATCGAACTTTCCGCTCTTACGATCCCGTTCTCTCGCGACCTTGGCTTTCATTTCGGCCTCAGATTTCGCGACGCGCTGTTTTGCTAAGAATGCTTCTTTCTCCTGCATTTTCCGGTGGGTCTCCGGATCCATAGCGGTATCAACCAATTGCCTCTGTCGCAACATAGACAACATAGCTCCGACGCCCACTCCAATTGTTGTCTCCTCTTCCAATCCAGTAGATGTAATATCGGCAAGCGCTTCCTTCTTGACTTCCGCTTGAGGCGACGCACTTCTGCCAATATCGGTACTACCCATAGCGACATCTCCGTCCTCATCAGCGCCCGGCGTACTAGGCTCTGATTTAACTTCAGCCTTGACTGATGTGGCGCGCTGCCGACGTTCCGTGTGGACAGGTAACTGGAGGCTTCCAACGAACTCTGTAGTTTCATCGATAACCAACCCGGGC